GCTCCTGTTCCACCCCTGCTCAAAAATTTCCAATGCTCTGCTTTTTTGCCACATCACATATAAATTCTCTGCTCAGCTTTTCAGGCCCTCTGGACCAGATCTGTGCCTCAGGACAACCTCATTTTCTGCTGTGGCCCTTCTTAGCTTTGGTCAGCCTGGCCTCGTGCAGTTTTCCAGATATGGTTCCATCGGTCTCTTCCTAGCCCTGTGACCTTAGGTAAGTCACAATATGTTTAAGCCTCAGTTTTCTCATCTGTAAAATGGAGATAGTAACAGTACGTACCTCATGGGCTTTTTTTATGAGACTAAAGAGAAATTGTGTATGTACAGCATCTTTTTTTTAAACATGCCTGTGGTGTTGGAGAAGAGGATGTTTGTATGGGAAGAGCAGCAGCAGTTCTATATAGTGTCAATTAGAAGTACAGTTCTGTAAATCCTGAAGCCTAAGGAAATAAAAATATGTTTCAAGAAAAAAGACAAATTTTCCACAAAAATGAATATATTATTCCTAAAAATAAAAGTTATTGAGTCATCTACTCCTTATACCATTCTGTTTGGCAGGTGTTACTAACATCCCTATTTTTCCAGATGAGGAAACTGGTGATAAGAATGATTATCAATCTGTGGTAATCATTCTTACCAGTGCCTGTAGTTCTGGTACGTAGTGGTTATTTCTTTTACCTCCTAGATGAAGACACTGTAACCCAAAAAGGTTTATAGGCTGTGCAATTTTGTAGAATGAGTTGTTGGCAGGGCTAAAGCTGCAACTTCCTTCTTGGGACTGTTAATCCAATGTTCTCTAAATAAAAGTTATCTTCCTTAATATTTATTTTCAGATTAAAAGTCATGATGTTCACTTAGTGATAGAAAAAATATGTTTTATATAAACTGTTTGATTCATAGGACGTTTACCTCATTACAAATGTAACTTATTCCAACATAATCAATGACTTTCTCACAGAATGTTCTTTAAATGTTATAACATCTGGTTATAAATGGAGCTGCAATCTTAGTCTAGCATCTTAATTTTTATCAGCTGACAAGAACAGGATAAAAAAATTAAAAAGAAATATAGAAATACTACATTTTCAGCAATACTGAGGATTCAGCTGTTAATATTTAAGTGTATTTTCTTTTACGTAAGAAAACATATACTCTTTTAAGCAAGAAAATTTTAAAAAGAATTATAACCACCTTTATAGACATTTGTCTAAAAGCTATAATATACATTGTTGCCTTCAAAATAGAATATAACAAACTAAAGATGCTTCACTACATATTTATTTTTGAATTCTTTGTTAGCTAGTGGTATATCCTTCTTCCAGGAAGGATTGGAGGTGTTTTAAAACATAAGGAAACTTCTTTTTATAAAGACATAGAGTCTTTGTGAGCTCCCCTGTGCTGAATGCAGAGCTGCAGTCAGAGTTCACCAAGGCCTCTGTGTCAATATTCTGTCTCCTCCTCTATCAAGCTGTTATTTTTCACTCTTACCTGTAAAGTCTCCTCTAAACACCAGTCTGTCCTGGCTTCTCTTTCTTCTCTCTTTCTCCCTCACTTTCTTTCTCAATGATCTGATGGCTTTAATTGTTTAGGGGCAGTAAGCGAACAAAGATTATTAGAATTGTGTAGTGTATAAAATAAAAGTATACAAGTTCCTAATGAGGACCTGAAATTCAAAGGATTCCTATGAATATATTGCATGCTTTTTAGAACATGGCATTGTCGTAATTATTGGGTTTTTTGTCTTTAAATACTTTTTCTTGCCTCCTTATCATGTTCCAGATAAAAGGTTGTCAGATTTATAACTCTGAGATGTCTAATGAGATGTCATTACAATCAAAATAAAATGGAGAGTAATATTGTTTACACCTCTTATAAGAATAGCCAGAAAATTTGTAAAGTACTTAATTTTAGAATAAAAGCTAAGACACAAAAGAAGCAAAACCNCAAATTCTTAGTATATGTTTACAGAACAGCTGATGATAAATTCAGCCAAACAGGGATTGTATATTTTGGGGCTAGCTAACAAGGCCAAATATTATAACCTAAACTTGCTAATATGGTAAATTTCCTGGTGGCTCTAAAGTATTTTTTTTATAGGAAATTCCCATAACATGCCTTAAAAGTTTAAGATTTTATATTCTATGGACTGTGATGGACCTGTAATAAAATTAATTCCCAAATATGCAATCAAAATATTCCTAGAAAAAACACCCCTGCTATTAGTATAATCTTCAACTGAATGATGCACAACAGAGTTGACTTTTCTTAATACTACATACTAATTTTTATGAGGCACTGAGAATCTAATGTCGGCAGAAACAATGAGACATACTTGAACTCTAATGAATTCTTAAGCAGATGACTAACATGAAACTAAGTTGTTGAAATGAGTTTTAATATTAGTAAATCAGTTGTGTACCATTAGTTTCCAGCTTAAATGGAATTGTACTCCACATATTAATTTGTAGATAGATGTTTTACAACTTAGAATACATTTTCCTGTAGTAATAATGGTATAAATCAATTTGTAGGCCATCAACAAAAACCGTCCAGCTTACAGTACAGCTGAACTATGATACCAATAATGCCTGAACCCAAAGAACATTTTAGCATAGTTTCTATGTAGAAAATGTATTTTCATTTTCAAACGGGAACTTTTAAGAACATATTACCCCTCTACTTCACTAGGCCTGAGAATGAGATGTTCTACTCCTGACTCTCAAACCTGCAGAGGAGCCTGCACTTTCCCCTTTCCCATACCAACCAGTCCCCACAGAGCTTCAGGGGTACTAATGAGACCTAAGCGAGAAAGGAATAGCAAAATGAAGGCTTAGGAAAGCACTGTTCCCAATATGCTCTGGGTTGAAGGCTTGTAAAGTAGGTACACAGAGATCCTTAGGAGAGTATAGCTCCCAGAACAATACTGGTTGGAATTTGAAAGACATGTATATCCTAGACCAGTGTGACACTATCTTCTTGGAACAGGAGTGTAATGGCTTTTGTGGCAGCACTATTTTCTAGGGTGATAAGAGCCAGAGTTCTGTGAGATCATCATAGTGATGGTGGGGGAAAAAAATGTGTGTGTGTGTGTTATGTACATAAATTTATTAAAATTTTTACTTGTATAAAATATGTAGCACATAATTTATAAATAATAATGTATAATACACTTTATCACAAAATTCTCTGTAGCAAATTAATTACAACAGAATGTTTTCCTTAAGTTTTGCTGAATACTTGTATCCAAAGCTAACCTATAGTTGCAACTGCAGTGGATGAGAGAGTATAATTTAAACGTGAATGCTGGTTGGTGTTTTCATTTATATTAATGACTAGAACAAAAGTGAAAGAATGACATATATTGGAACTTTACTTGTTTAAGGATAACAGTAACAACTTTGCTGAATGAGATAACAATTTTTAAATATTGGGAGAACATATCAAGTTTTTATGCAATTCACAATGTAATGGCTACAGATAAAACATGCTTTTAAGCATAATCTGCATTATTAACATTTTCCTCATCACTTTCCTCAGTCCAGACTACAGGAAAACTTTGTTACAGGGCCAGACAGTAAATATTTTAGGCTCGTGGGGCTTTATTTCTCTGAAGCAATGACTTCGCTGTCATGGTAATGAGAAAGCAATAGACAGTTCAGAAATGAACAGGCATTTCTGTGTTCCAGTAAAACTTTATTCTCAAAAAGATGGGCTAGCAGGAAGGCCATAGTTTGCCAATCCCTGGTCTAAACCCTCAACAAAGTAAATCATGGCTTGATTTGGCATTTGCAGACTTCCACGGTGTAAATACTCCCACCATGACCAACTTCAAGATACCAATGAATCAGGAGTTGTATCTGAATTTTATTATGTCTGTATTATTGTATCTACATACAGATATAATAGACATAATCTAAGAGTTTAGATATACATTACTTAAGAGTATAGATAATAGTAAAATAATTAGAAACTGGTAAGTTCTGAGTATTACCATTGTTTTAATATAACTTAATATTGTTTATTTTTTATAATTTATTTAGTTGTAAGTTTATATAATTTAATTGTTAATAATGACTGTATTTAAAAACCAGCTTACAAATTTCCTGAAATTTAACAAATGGTTCTTATGAGTTTGTATAAGCTGGCCTGAGCAGACCACTGTATATGAGGGAAAGAAAATTTGGTTATTAAAAGCTCAGGGAGAGCTTCCTGAGTTTTGTCAGAATCTTCACAAGTCAAGAGGTCAAAAAGAGGTGATCCTGGAACCAGAAAGTGAATCAGAAACAGAGACTCTGGTTTATCAAAGGCTTACCTTTCATTCTTTGTAGAAGGGTTCCATAGCCTAAGTCATACTGGTAGGCGAAGATGAAGCCTAACGGAACTATAGGGGAGAGGAAAGCTGGCTGCTTCTTTTTTATTGCTCTGGTTCAAGAATAAAAAAGAATGAATATCAAAGATAACTTGTAAATACATATCTATACTTGAAAGAAAAATTACCTGCTTTTTGAAAGAATGTCCTCCATTTCAGAAGTTACTTAACTTATTTGAATCTTTTATGGAAAAAGGATTTCCTTGTCCACAACCCCTCACCAGATTCTGCAGTTCTCAAGGGCAGGGTCATGACTTGCTCATCTTTATTTGACAGTGAAGCTCAGATTACTCAATCTAAAATTGGTTAAGTATTGATATCTACCCCTCAGGAATTGTGGAGATAAACTTATAGAGACTCCTTCTGTTTTGGTGTCAAGTCAATCCTTTTTCTAAATTATAGAATGGAGAAAAAGAGAAGAAATCTAGGAAACTGAAGGCAGAATTAACTATCACTACCCTGGATCTACAGTTACCTCCAAACTATAGGGGTTACAGGGCTAAACTATAAGGGGTTACTCTGTTTACATATATGCTATCTGGACTTAAGTCCTACCTTGGCCAACTTCATAATATTATGGTAATGGCAAAGACAAAAAGAAGTAAATTATTTAAGAAAACTTTAAAGTAAATAGTAGACATACCCAGCTGTTACAGAGATGGCTACAATGCCAAAAAAAGTCCCAAAATATTTGAGGAATTCCCGAGACCAAGCAATCTGCAAAGCCATTTGTCTTTCTCTCATTTCATTCTGCATCATTAGCTGCCTTTCCAGCTGAGGACAAAACAAATGACAAAGTGTGGTTACTCATCTTCTGAATCTGAGCCCAGAGTTAATCTGCTTATCCAGAGGGTTTTCATTCTTTAATTGCTTTGATTTGTCTTTTATTTTTAATCTCAATAGACTCTGACTGAAGTCTTTCTGTACAGCTATCCCCAATTGTCACCTTGGCAGTGAAGTGTTCCTGGAATGTATACATAATAGATATGAAATTCTTTTTCTTTGTCCTAAGGTCTTGTATGCCATATACAGTCTGGAGCTTTTAGCCAAGCCTAAAATATATGTTCAGCTTATTGTATCACATATGAGGGAAGATCTATATGCCTTTAAATGCAGATATATCTCTTTGGCCTTTATGACAATTTGCACTGAAATCATTTTGCCTTCCAATTCCATCCAATTCCAAATTGAAATTCATTTGGAGTATCAGGTCCATATTATACCATATCATGATACTGTGGTAGAGGGGTATTATTTTGAGACATCGGTAGAGATTTTTCCTCTGACACAAATTTCTTGTTGCCTCAAGTCCTTTGTCCTTTAGTCAGTGCCTTTCCCTGCTTTGAAGCCAAATGCAGACACAACCCAAAACACAGAAGGAGACTGGATTTCTGAATAGATTTTTAGAACACTCACAAGAAAATCAATAGTCTGAAGGTCCAAGCCCATTATTTTGAGAGAGTCAGCTTCTTGAGAGAGAAAAAGTTTTGTTGTGTTTTTTAAATTCTAAAATCTTGGCACTGTGTATCATTAACAAAGCCTAGAGGATAGCAAGCATGGAATTCATGATGTAAACCATAGGGGGAGAAGAGTAATAATGTGACTCAGTTTTCCTCCTCCTTTGTACTGGGAAGAAGGAACTAGGAGAGGAAAATGAGATTTTAGATAGTACATAGGGCTTGGCTCCTTGGCCCTGTTGGGGGTTGAAGCCCCTGAGAGTTGTAATGGATTTGGGGATCTTTAGAGCACTCATGATCCTGCCTCCTGATGAGAATTATGGGAAGGGGCAGATAAAGTAGAGAAAAAATGTTTGCAGGGCAGATCTAAGCTTACAGCAGGACCAAGAGAGGCCACTCCAGCTGCCAAGGGATGTGAAGAAAGTCTTCCAAGGTTCCCCTGTCAGCCTGGAGAGGGGCACAGAAGGTAGCCAAGAATTAAAAGCAGATGGCTAAGCAGGTAGTCACTAAAGCCTTGAGAAGCCTAAGGACCCTATAATAGAAACTTGGAGACAAAAAGTCATGGCTTAGAGCACAGGGGTGAAGGCCAAGCCAGCCTGAAACATGGTTGAATACCTTCAGAGAAAACCACCTGGCACTGCAGAGAAAGACATCAAAGGAACCTCCTCCAACCACATATACCTTCCCCAATGCCTATGCCACCTGAGGTCACCTGGGCCCAAACCTAGATTAGTCTGGGAAAACATGGACAGAGAACGGGAGAGCCAAGCTGAATTCAACTCTTTATATGCAAAGAAGTGAGTTTTTAAACTAGAAGTAACTGAGTCACTTAGACTTATCAAAATTTAGTTTGCCCTCAGCAGTAGAAATTGAAGTTCATTTTAAGTTCAGTTAGAGAGTAAAAAATCATGTTTTTACATACATGATTATTTTGCATGTGAAATGCATCTTTTCTATTATTACTTATTCAAAAAACTTCTATGATAGTCCATAATATCCTATCAAAGTGACATAGATGCATCAGTTAATCATTTGTGTTATCAAAAGGCAGTTGAATCCAATCACGATGTAGATGAATGCAAG